AATCATGTTATCACTTGTCACACAACGATGATACATTTATAATCATATCATCACTCGTCACACAATGATGAGAGATTTATAATAATGAAATCACTCGTCACACAAGGATGGTGGGTTTATAATTATAACATCACTCGTCACCCAATGAATGAGTGTTATAACTCGTTCCACAACGTTGGTAATTTTATAATAACAGCATTCGTCACACACCGACGGTGGTATAAAAATCATATCATCACTGGTCACACAGTGCTGGTGATGTGGACATGTTAGACTCATGTAAAGGAATTGCATAAACTTTTGATCAGTCGTCACACAACGTCGGTAAAGTAAACATGTTCGAATCATTCACACGAATATAGGCAGAACTTGTGGCACGGTACTCGATATGTCAATATAATTGGACAGCAATCACAACTTCCTTGCACATGTCACACACAGTTGCTTGTACTCGTCACAGGTTGCTTGTATTCATCACACAAAGTTGCTTGCACTTGTCGCACAAATTTGCTTTTACTCGTCAAAAAAACTATCAGCCGTCGTCAAACAAAGTTGCTTGGCCTCGTCAAACATTGTTGCTTGTACTCGACATAACACACGTTTCTTTGACCGCACACACAGCCGCTTGACATCGTCACACAGCGTTGCTGGCACTCGTCATATAAAGTTGCTTTTCCTCGTCACACAAAGTTGTTGAAACTTGTCACACAAAGTTGCTGGCGATCGTCACACAAAGTTGCTTGCATTCGTCAAACAAATTTGTTCGCCCTCGTCCCGCAAAGTTTCTGGCCATCGTCACATTACGTTGCTGACACTCTTCACACCAAGCTGCGGGCACTCGTCACACAAAGTTGCTGGCACTGGTCACACAAAGTTGCTGGCCCTCGTCACACAATATTGCTGGCACTGTTCACATAAAGTTGCCTGCCCTCGTCACACAACATTTATGGCACTCGTCACAAGACCTCGTCCATGTGTCGACATCTGTGATTTTCTATCTCACGAGACAACGAGGTTTCCATGATAACAACACCAATCTGAAACAGAGAACACGCCAGACGGGTTCCACAGGTGGACAACATTTCCTCTACATTACATTTCATTTGAAAAGCACACGATTGTGTATGTATGTGAATATGTGCAAGTGTGTGAGTGAATGTGTGGCTGTGTGAGTGTGTGGTTGTGTATGCGTGTGGCAGTGTGTGTATGCGTGGTTGTGTATGCGTGTGTTTCTGTATGCGTGTGGGAAAATGTGTGGTTGTGCATACGTGTGGGTGTGTGTATGCGTGTGGCTGTCTGTCTGTATGCGTGGTTGTATATGCGTGTCGGTGTGTGTGTATACGTGTTGGTGTGTGTGTATGCGTGTGGCTCTGTGTGTATGCGTGTGGCTGTGTGTGTGCATGTTGCCGATGTGCGATAATATTCTCCGTTTATCTAGCTCAGTGGTCTCCTATCTAGCCCAATGGTCTCATTTCTAGCTGAGTGGTCTCCAATCTAGCTCAGTGGTCTTCTATATAGCTATGTGATCTCCTATCTAGCTCAGTGGTCTCCAATCTAGCCCAGCGATCTCCTATCTAGCTCAGTGGTCTCCTATCTAGCTCAGTGGTCTCCTATCGAGCCAAGTGGTCTCCTATCTAGCTCAGCGGTCTCCTATCTAGCTCAGTGGTCTCCTATCTAGCTCAGTCGTCGATATCTAGCTCAGTGGTCTCCTATCTAGCTCAGTGGTCTCCAATCTAGCCAGGTGATCTCCTATCTAGCTCAGTGGTCTCCTATCTAGCTCAGTGGTCTCCTATCTAGCCCAGTGGTCTCCTATCTAGCTCAGTGGTCTCCTATCTAGCTCAGTCGTCCATATCTAGCTCAGTGATCTCCTATCTAGCTCAATGATCTCCTATCTAGCCCAATGGTCTCCTATCTAGCCCAATGGTCTCCTATCTAGCTCAGTCGTCGATATCTAGCTCAGTGGTCTCCAATCTAGCCCAGCATTCTCCTATCTAGCCCAGTGGTCTCCTATCTAGCCCAGTGGTCTCCTATCTAGCCTAGTGGTCTCCTATCTAGCTTAGTCGTCGATATCTAGCTCAGTGATCTCCTATCTAGCTCAGTGATCTCCTATCTAGCCCAATGGTCTTCTATCTAACTCAGTGGTCTCCTATCTAGCCCAGGGGTCTCCTATCTAGCGCAGTGGTCTCCTATCTAGCCCAGTGGTCTCCTATCTAGCCTAGTTGTCTCCTATCTAGCTCAGTCGTCGATATCTAGCTCAGTGATCTCCTATCTAGCTCGGTGATCTCCTATCTAGCCCAATGGTCTTCTATCTAGCTCAGTGGTCTCCTATCCAGCTATGTGATCTCCTATCTAGCTCAGTGGTCTCCTATCTAGCCTAGTGGTCTCCTATCTAGCTCAGTGGTCTCCTATCTCGCTCAGTGGTCTCCTATCTAGCCCAGTGGTCTCCTATCTAGCCCAGTGGTCTCCTATCTAGCTCAGTGGTCTCCTATCTAGCTCAGTGGTCTCCTATCTAGCCCAGTGGTCTCCTATCTAGCTCAGTGGTCTCCTATCTAGCTCATTCGTCGATATCTAGCTCAGTGGTCTTCTATCTAGCTATGTGATCTCCTATCTAGCCCAGTGGTCTCCTATCTAGCTCAGTGATCTCCTATCTAGCCCAGTGGTCTTCTATTTAGCTATGTGATCTCCTAACTAGCCCAGTGGCCTCCTATCTACCCAAGTGGTCTTCTATATAGCTCAGTGGTCTCCTATCTAGCTCAGTGGTCTCCTATCAAGCCCAGTGGTCTCCTATCTAGCTGAGTGGTCTTCTATCTAGCTCAGTGATCTCCTATCTACCCAAGTGGTCTTCTATCTAGCTCAGTGGTCTCCTATCTAGCTCAATGGTCTCCTATCTAGCCCAGTAGTCTCCTATCTAGCTGAGTGGTCTCCTATCTAGCCCAGTGGTCTTCTATCTAGCTATGTGATCTCCTATCTAGCCGAGTGGTCTCCTATCTAGCTCAGTGGTCTCCTATCTAGCCCAGGGGTCTCCTATCTAGCTATGTGATCTCCTATCTAGCCCAGTGGTCTCCTATCTAGCTATGTGATCTCATATCTAACTCAGTGATCTCCTATCTAGCCCAGTGGTCTCATATCTAGCTATGTGATCTCCTATCTAGCTCAGTGGTTTCCTATCTAGCTCAGTGGTCTCCTATCTAGCCTAGTGGTTTCCTATCTAGCCCAGGGGTCTCCTATCTAGCTCAGTGGTCTCCGATCTAGCTCAGGGGTCTCCTAATTAGCCCAGGGGTCTCCTATCTAGCCCAGTGGTCTACTATCTAGTTCAGTGATCTCCTATCTAGCTCAGGGGTCTCCTATCTAGCCCAGGGGTCTCCTATCTAGCCCAGGGGTCTCCTATCTAGCCCAGTGATCCCTTATCTAGCTCAGTGATCTCCTATCTAGCTCAGTGATCTCCTATCTAGCTCAGTGATCTCCGTTCTAGCCCAGTGGTCTTCTATATAGCCCAGTGGTCTTCTATCTAGCTCAGTGATCTCCTATCTATCCCAGTGGTCTCCTATCTAGCTATGTGATCTCCTATCTAGCCCAGTGGTCTTCTATCTAGCCCAGTGGTCTTCTATATAGCTATGTGATCTCCTATCTAGCCCAGTGGTCTTCTATCTAGCTATGTGATCTCCTATCTAGCCCAGTGGTCTATCTAGCCCAGTGGTCTTCTATCTAGCTATGTGATCTCCTATCTAGCCCAGTGGTCTCCTATCTAGCTTTGTAGTCTTCTATCTAGCCCAGTAATCTCATAACTAGCTCAGTGGTCTTCTGTCTAGTTATGTGGTCTCCTATCTAGCCCAGTGTTCTTCTATCTAGCTTTTTAGTCTTCTATCTAGCTCAGTGGTCTCCTATCTAACTCAGTGGTTTCCTATCTAGCTTAATGGTCTCCGATCTAGCTCAGTGGTCTCCTATCTAGCTCAGTGGTCTCCTATCTAGCTCACTTGTCTCCTATCTAGTCCAGTGATCTCCTGTCTAGCTCAGAGTTCTTCTATCTAGCTCAGTGGTCTTCTATCTAGCTATGTGGTCTCCTATCTAGCTCAGTGGTCTCCTATCTAGCTCAGTGGTCTCCTATCTAGCGTAGTGGTGTCCTATCTAGCTCAGTGGTCTCATATCTAGCATAGTGGTCTCCTATCTAGACCTGTGGTCTTCTATCTAACTCAGTGGTCTTCTATCTAGCTATGTGGTCTCCTATCTAGCTCAGTGGTCTCCTATCTAGCTATGTGGTCTCCTATCTAGCTCCGAGGTCTCCTATCTAGCTATGTGGTCTCCTATCTAGCTCCGTGGTCTCCTATCTAGCTCCGTGGTCTCCTATCTAGCTATGTGGTCTCCTATCTAGCTCAGTGGTCTCCTATCTAGCTATGTGGTCTCCTATCTAGCTCCGTGGTCTCCTATCTAGCTATGTGGTCTCCTACCTAGCGTAGTGGTCTCCTATCTAGCTGAGTCACTGCTGTAGATTGTGCTATCTTCGGTGCTATTTGTGGTGCTATTTTCAGTGCTATATATAGTGCTATCTTCAGTGCTTTATATGGTGCTATCTTCAGTGCTATTTGTGGTGCTATCTTCAGTGTTATTTATGGTGCTATCTTAAGTGCTATATATGGTGCTATATTCAGTGCTATTTGTGGTGCTATCTTCAGTGCTATATATGGTGCTATCTTTACTGCTATATATGTTGCTATCTTCACTGCTATATATGGTGCTATCTTCACTGCTATATATGGTGCTATCTTCACTGCTATAGATGGTGCTATCTTCACTGCTATATATGGTGCTTTCTTCAGTGCTTTTTGTGGTGCTATCTTCACTGCTATAAATGGTGCTATCTATAGTACTATTTGCGGTGCTATCTTCACTGCTATATATGGTGCTATCTTCACTGCTTTATATGATGCTATCTTGAAGGCTATATATGGTGCTATCTTCAGTGCTATACATGGTGCTATCTTCAGTGCTATTTGTGGTGCTACCTTCAGTGCTATATATGGTGCTATCTTAAGAGCTTTTGTGGTGCTATCTTCACTGTTATATATGGTGCTTTCTGTGCTATTTGTGGTGCTATCTTCACTGCCAAATATGGTGCTATCTTCAGTGATATTTGTGGTGTTACCTTCACTGCTACATATGTTGCTATCTTCACTGCTAAATATGGTGCTATCTTCACTGCTATATATGATTCTATCTTCAGTGCTATACATGGTGCTATCTTCAGTGCTGTTTGTGGTGCTATCTTTAGTGCTATTTGTGTTGCTATCTTAAGTGCTATATATGGTGTGATATTCAGTGCTATTTGTGGTGCTATCTTTAGTGCTATATATGGTGCCATCTTTACTGCTATATATGTTGCCATCTTCACTGCTATATATGGTGCTATCTTCACTGCTATATATGGTGCTATCTATACTGCTTTAGATGGTGCTATTTTCACTGCTAAATATGGTGCTTTATTCACTGCTATGTATGGTGATATTTTCACTGCTATATATGATGCTATCTTCAGTGCTTTTTGTGGTGCAATCTTCACTGCTATATATGGTGCTATCTTCAGTGCTATATATGGTGCTATCTTCAGTGCTATTTTTAGTGCTATCTTCAGTGCTATTGTGACGTGACGCGTGGTTTAAATGTTTATGTTGTTGAGTAGGGATCTTCCTTTCAACACATTCTCTCCACTAGATACACCGAACTAAAATCTGAGCTATGTTGCTCTCAGACAAAGTCCTGGATATCCAAGAAAACAGCCATATTGGCTCGTTAAGTATATTAACATTAGCTGAACTTGGTACCCACAAGAGAAGGCAAGGAATTTTAGATGTCTATCATACTTAATGTTAATGAATTATTAGACAGGGCAAGTGATTCCTCCGTCATCTACCTTCTCCCGGTGTTATTATTAATAATTAAAGAATTATTATATTATTTGAGCACCCACCAAATGGTAATCTATCTTAACAGTTTAATTAAACATGTAAGAACAGACATTTGGAATTTAACAAACTATGTAGTTTAAAACTTGACATACAGCTTTATTTATTACAATGAAATTCCCAGTTTGTTGATTTACACAAACAGTGACTGGTTAACTTGATGATGGTGGTAAGCTTCAGCGAGAAAAACAGCTCGGGGGTTAGAGTGGTATGATAATGATGATAATAGGTTAACATAAAAGGGTTAACTCAACTTATAAGCCTCTGACAGCCGTGAGGAACTGCCAAGCTTGTCCAACTCTTCCTTGCCTGTTGTCTGCCTGTTTCAGCTTATTCTCCACTTCATCCCCACCTCGTTCTCCACCTCGTTCTCCACCTCGTTCTCCACCTCGTTCCCAGCTGGCCGAGTCTAACACAATGTAGGCTACTTCATGGACTGATCGTCACATGGGCGCTGTAATCATGGAAACAAAACACATACGTGTAGTATCTTGACTTACACTAAGAATACATGTATTAATTAATACAACATATAATAATAAAATATATCCCATCACTCCTCCTCATATTCCACATCCTCTCCAGTCTAGTCTGAAGGTCTTTTGTCTTACATGGGCGTCACATATCCTGCCTTCCCTCTTCATGCTATGTCATGATAGTTGACTTTCTAAGTCTGTTGTCCGTCATCACTCAGACTTCCAACAACTGGCTGACATAGATTTGACATACCCATGTGGCGCAGGTTATGTGCTGAAAACGCAAACAATTTATATGTGCACGCTGTCCTGAATATTATCTTTCAGTGACAGTGAATTCTATACACCCATCATTCTTCCCCTGAGGTTATAAATCCCCTGTTCAGGTGAACACATTAAGTGAGCACATGGTGGGCACACAAAACGTAGCAACATCCCTGCACATATTTGGGCATCATTTCCCACAGTCCAAACTCATATTTTGGCTGATCGTGAAAACAATATAATTACATTTCATTATAGCAAACGTCATTGTTCACATCTTATTTTATACACATGAAAACATACAATGAAAAACATGTGACACAAATATACAAGAAATAGGAATAGTTTAGCAGTTCCCTAACTGAGATACTGAACATTCACAAAGAACTATTTCAAGCAGAATGTGCAGACAAATTAGGAAAAGGTAGTATAGACTAAAAGCTTAACTCCCTAACCTAAGTATACAAGATTAAAATTAATATTTTCTCTTACCTGGGAACTTTCCTTTAATCGCCAAAACAGAATGCGACCGTAAAATTTACCTTTTAGGTCGATCTGTGTTGTTTGCCGGCAGGCTGAGATTAATGACGGAAATTCCACAGGCTCGAAGTATAAGTATCAATCTATTGTCCAAATTAAACTCCTCCCTTTCCTTAGTTTTTACCCAACCCTCAAGATGATGGCTTAAGCACCGCCCCTGAGGTAACTATCAGATCACTTGGCTAACCAGTGACCTGTCACTCAATTCTGGACTGACATCCCTAGAGCAAACATTCTTAAGTGACCCAATCTAGTTTACAACGAATCTAACTGGCAGGTGTTAAAAGACGTTCAGTGAAGCCATTGTGTTTCCTACTTGACCCAGATCAAACAGTCCTAATTGCCACACAACTGTTCTCCCCCGAATTACACTGACGTGTGAAACTCTGACCTCTGGGCTCCACGATGTCTAGCGTCCACTCAATTTACCTGGTCAAAAGGGCCCCCCTCAGTCTCTACAGTCTGGTCAGGAGATAACATTCTGACACTGGCGTGAGAATGCAATCTAACATCCCTAGTCTGAACCAGCGGGCTATATTACGTAGTGTTGGGTAATTTTGAACAAAGCGCAGTGGCTTGTCTCGAAGAAGGACTGGTAACAATTTAAATCCGTGCGGTTTAAAGCAATATTAGGATAAAGCGCAGAGTAAATATAATTCTGTCTCTTTAGAACCAGAAGAACTTATTACAAGTACTAACTTCTTGAATCACTGAGATCGTCTCGTGACAGCTATATATGGTGCTATCTTAAGTGCTTTTGTGGTGCTATCTTCACTGTTATATATGTTGCTATCTTCACTGCTATTTTTGGTGCTATCTTCACTGCTATATATGATGCTATCTTCAGTGCTATATATGGTGCTATCTTCACTGCTATATATGATGCTATCTTCAGTGCTATATATGGTGCTATTTTCAGTGCTATATATGGTGCTATCTGCAGTGCTATTTTTGGTACTATCTTCTGTGCTATATATGGTGCTATCTTAAGTGCTTTTGTGCTGCTATCTTCACTGTTATATATGGTGCTATCTTCTGTGCTATTTGTGGTGCTATCTTCACTGCTATATATGTTGCTATCTTCAGTGCTATATGTGATGCTATCTTCAGTGATATATTTAGTTCCATCGTCACTGTTACACATGGTGCTTTTTTCACTAAGTCAATCGAGAGCGGAATGTCCAGTAACTAATAGCAACTCACATCGACTGTTGGCTCTGAGAGTAGCCCATGCTGCTGTTGGTCGTGTCTGGCTGTCTGTGGCTCTGTGTGACGGCTGTATGTCTTCAGGGAAGCCTGCAGGACGTGGACAGGGAAGAGAACAGAAACAGCAACAATCAAAAACCATGTTGACACTAGCGGCTCGTTAGCCATATGTTGCTAGATATGTTTCAACAAATTCCTCAAAAATAAGTCTCAATATTTGATCTCCCCGCAACCTCCCCCCCCCCTCTCTCTCTCTCTCTCTCTCTCTCTCTCTCTCTCTCTCTCTCTCTCTCTCTCTCTCTCTGTGTCTCCTCTCTCTCTTTTTCTGGATTTGATCGACCAGCCATTTGATTCTGCTAGGAATCGTTTGTATAAAATGTTTTCGACATTACTGATAACCCAACAAATCCTGTTCAGTTGTTACAGTCAGTTAAATACATTTCTTTCGAATGCTAATAATTATGTCTTTCCCCCGCTGATCGGGGATTTGTTTCTCTGCCGAGAGTCTGTTAAACAAATATGTCACTTGGTTTATGAATAAATCATCTGTTGCCTTGAGCCTTTCTGCAATGATATCATTATCACATGCTGCTTTTTTGTTTGTTAACGAACTGATTACCTCCCTAATTTCCATGTCGTTTATCTGTGCTATATTTGGTATTAATATTGTCTCTCCACCAAAATCCATTGGTTCTTGTGGACTAGTTCTATATAAGATTTCTTGCAGGTGTATTGCCCGTCTCTTATTCTGCTCGGTGTTCAACAAATGCACCGGATCATCCTTACTTATAATGGGACCACCCCACAGGGTAAAAGTACTTCAAATATTTTAGGTTTGAAATCGTTTTATTCTATTTCTACTCTTAGCTGCCTGTTTCCCTTGTTTAGCTTATCTTTCAACACTTGCTCTCGCCTTGCACAATTTTAGACTTATCTTTCAACACTTGCTCTCGCCTTGCACAATTTTAGACTTATCTTTCAACACTTGCTCTCGCCTTGCACAATTTTAGACTTATCTTTCAACACTTGCTCTCGCCTTGCACAATTTTAGACTTATCTTTCAACACTTGCTCTCGCCTTGCACAATTTTAGACTTATCTTTCAACACTTGCTCTCGCCTTGCACAATTTTAGACTTATCTTTCAACACTTGATCTCGCCTTGCACAATTTTGGACTTATCTTTCAACACTTGCTCTCGCCTTGCACAATTTTAGGCTTATCTTTCAACACTTGCTCTCGCCTTGCACAATTTTAGGCTTATCTTTCAACACTTGCTCTCGCCTTGCACAATTTTAGGCTTATCTTTCAACACTTGCTCTCGCCTTGCACAATTTTAGGCTAATCTTTCAACACTTGCTCTCGCCTTGCACAATTTTAGGCTTATCTTTCGTGTTGTTATCTTCTTAAGCGTCGATTTCTTGTTTCGTTGTATTAGCATTGAATATAACAAACTGCAGTACCTTTCTGCACAAAAAACGTTTATCAAATTGCCAAAATTTAACATTTCTGAATGAAGATACGCGTCCTACATCCAATCACATGTCGATTATTACTCCACTGTTTGAGATGTTTGCGCGAAATTTAAGGTTAATAAGACTTAAGTTCCCTTCAAATCGCGCTTTACGCATGGTTTCAGATATCGAAAAAAAAAAAAGAAAAAAATCGCTATAGCCATCTAAGACTTCTGCCACTTAGTAAACGCCTAATTTTTAACAACGCTAAATTTATTCAAACAACTGTATCTCAAAATACTCCAAACTACCTTTTCCAGTAGATTAAATCTA